AAACTATAGCGAGCATCAGAAACACCTTAAGGGCTTATTCAAATACAAACTGTTGGGCTCTGTTCTAGACTTTCAGATGAGTGGGTCTGAGGTGGGGCTCCAGAATGTAAATTTATACATGCATCCCAGGCGGTTGTTACAGATGCTGCTATTTCTTTTTTATCTCATTTTTTAGTTGAATTTTTATTTTATATTGAGGGATAGCTGATTAGTTGATTTGCAATGATGTTAGTTTCAGGCATACAGCAAAGTGATTCAGTTTTCTACATATACTCATTCTTTTTCAGACTCTTTTGCCATGTAGGTTATTAAAGAATATTGAGTAGAGTTCCCTGTGCTATCTAGTACGTCCTTGTTGATTATCTGTTTTACATATAGCAGGTGTATATGTTAATCCCCAAATCTTACTTTATCCCTCCCCTCAACCTTTTCTCTATGGTAACCATGAGTTTGCTTTCAGAGTTTGTGAATCTGTTTCTGTTTTCTAAATATGATCATGTGTATCATCTTTTTAGTTTTCACAAATAAGTGATATCATATAATATTTGTCTTTCTTAAAATTTACTTTATTGAAGTATAGTTGATTTATAAAATTCTGTTAATTTCTGCTGTAAAGCAAAGGGATTCAGTTACTAATTTGATTTTAAAATGAAACACTGGGAACCACTGACCTAGACCACCCTGAATCTAAATGTCTAGGAATATGACTGGGTGATTTTAATGTATCACCAGCTTTGGGAACTGCTGATCCAGCTCTTGGATTACAATTCGTTGGTATACTTGTTTTCATGCCTTTGCCCATAGCAGATATACTTACTTACCACTGTGTTTTCTACATCTTTGTGAGATGATATGCCTATTACAGATTAACCTTCAGTTCAGTTCAGTTTAGTAGCTCAGTCGTGTCCGACTCTTTGCAACCCCATGAATCGCAGCACACCAGGCCTCCCTGTCCATCACCAACTCCCGGAGTTGACTCAAACTCATGCCCATCGAGTCGGTGATGCCATCCAGCTATCTCATCTTCTGTCGTCCCCTTCTCCTCCTGCCCCCAATCCCTCCCAGGAAGTTATAAATTATAACAGTTTGCTATTATTTTCTCTTTGCTTATTTTAATTAAGGTATTTCTCATTCTAAATCAGGAAAGAAAAATCAGAACTATAAATTGCAATTCAGGCAAATGATTAGCTTTTTAGCTTGGTCAATTAAACCAAGTAAAATAAAAATTTTTTCACCATTTTGCCCACAGCCCCTCTTACCCAACTAGCCCACTGCTTCAGCCATTCCACCCAAGGAACATAGCTAAGAATAAAATTAAAATTTTCCTGCATGGTGAACTTGTAAATTAAAATTTTAAAATAACAGAAAATATTATTTATTATTTTTTGCATAAAGTTAGCAAATAAAAAAATCATTTAAATTTGAGGTAGCAGTTACACTTTTCCTATTAATTCTTATATCTAATCTTTATTTTTTTGTGTGTTAAGGCTTTGCCTTCATAGTTGAAAGTTTGGGGATATTGACAGAAAATATGTGCAAGAACAAGAGCATTGTTTGTCTACCAATTTCTTAAACTAATAGGAGACACAGATTCTATTTTCAGTTTTCTATGAACCTATTTTTAGTGTTAAATTGTGAATAAGAATTTGCTCTAGTGCTTACACAGAAAATTAAATTATTATGCTCTATGTATGTGAAATGTTAATTTTTAAAAATATTTACCACTCACTTCCCAACATTTTCAAAACACCTCTGAAATGGAATAACATTGAAGTAATTCTATTTTTATTTGGGGTTTCAGAATGAGAGGGTCAATTTGATGTTTTTGATATATGAACTGATGGTATCTGGCACAAGACTACTATGGGATTTAAAAATTAACATTAGTTCCTCATGGGGATACATATAGCTAATTTTATTTTTAAAATGTTAGCATTTCCTAAATTTTGTAGAGGTTTACAGACCTGATGACTTCTTGATTTTAATGCCTTAGCAGAGCACATCAACTGCATCATTCATTTATTGCATTAATAACAGGGAAGTGTGGTTTCCTAGGAAATACTTTAAAAACCACTACTCAATATTTCTTTAACATTTATTCTTGCATCAGTCTAAAGTGTTTTCTTTCATACTTTGATCAGAGACATGAAAATGTTATACAAAGTTCTTTTTACTTATGCAGCTATCAATGGTGGGGAATGAAAATATTTCATTAAAAATAGGAAAGCTGATGAAATCTGCCTCATATAATTTACTAGAATCTGTGGGGAATTGCATTTTATACCTTAACTATGCAAATAATCTTGAGAGGCTATAGTGCCTTTTTAATAAATTGACTCTTAAATTACTTTCCTCTATACCAAACACATCATTTTAAACTAAGTTTTCTTTCGTTAGCATGCACCAATCTAGACATATTCTCATTAAGGCTGTAACTTTCTTTCAATTACTAGAGCACTAGGGAGACTGGTTAAGAAGTGCTGGTCCAAAGATTAAAGTCTTTGCAGACATTATCTGACTCATTTCTGAAGAGAGCCAAGTGCCTGACCTTCATGAAAAACATTGTACTGAAGGCAGTGGGGTGTTCTACTTGCTTTACCCACACTAAAAAAAATCTAGTTCTCTGTCCTTGTCTGTGATTGTGACTGTGATTCATTAGAAATGAGGTCAGTGAACTAGAGAGTAAAATCTGGCTGGAGGGAAAAACTTGTAAATAGAGAGTATGTGGTTATGTGGAACCGGCCATCATCCATACAGCTCAGGCCACTTTCTAGAAAGCTTTCCCTGACATGCCCAAATTGATAGAGGTTCTCCTATAGGACATTGTCTTTCTCACATTATATTGTAATTCTCTATTTCTGTGTCTGTCTCCACCACGTAAGCATTTAAAGCAAAAACTATGTCTTATTCATCCAAAGACCAGACACATTATCATTGCCAATGCATAAACTTCTAATCTGTGAGTAATCAAAATAATGTGTTTATATTAGCAAATGTTAGAAAAAATAATGAAGATAAATGTTTCCTTTCCAATATGCTCTTGCATGAAAATAGAGTCAGCTTTATGCTATCACTCAACATATTTTATTCAAATGCATTAAAAATATTTTTGCCAAAGAAGATCTTGATTACTTTGATCTTTGTAAAGGTTTCACCTTAACCCCAACATTGTCTCTTTGAGGACACAGTTTAGCTAAGGTTCAAACACCACAGGGGAAAGAACACCTGTGTTGATAATCATATAGTGATACTTAGACAGTAAACTGGAACACAAGCTCCTGTACAGTAAGAGACCAATCATCCAGGGCATTTAGATTCAACAACTGTGGTCACAAGGTCAAGGAGCCAATCTCCTTAGCCTAAACTGTACTAAGTTCCTGAGTCTATAAAATAGCTCCTTGGCATGGCTATCAAATTGAGTAGTGGAAGCAACTGTGGAAAATTCTTAGAGACGTGAATACCAGACCACCTCACCTGCCTCCTGAGAAATCTGTATGCAGGTCAAGAAGCAACAGTTAGAACTGGACATGGGACAACAGATTGGTTCCAAATTGGGAAAGGAGTATGTCAAGGCTGTTTATTGTCATCCTGCTTATTTAACTTATATGCAGAGTACATCATGAGAAATGCTGGCCTGGAGGAAGCACAAGCTGGAATCAAGATTGCAGGGAGAAATATCAAAGAACTGACTCTTTGGAAAAGACCCTGATGTTGGGAAAGATTGAAGGCAGGAGAAGAAGGGGACGACAGAGGATGAGATGGTTGGATGGCATCACTGACTCAATGGACACGAGTTTGAATAACTCTGGGACTTGGTGATGGACAGGGAGGCCTGGCATGCGACAGTCCATGGGGTCACAAAGAGTCGGACATGACTGAGCGACTGAACTGAACTGTGTGGAAGCAAATAATTTCCTAGGGACTCACGTGCATGGACTCACTATTGAACTAAAGTTAAGTTAGAAATTTAAGTCGCTCAGTTGTGTGCGACTCTTTGCGACCCTGTGGACTGTAGCCCACCAGGCTCCTCCGTCCATGGGATTCTCCAGGCAAGAACACTGGAGTGGTTGCCATTTCCTTCTCCAGGGGATCTTCCCAACCCAGGGATTGGGCCTGGGTCTCCCGCATTGCAGGCAGGTGCTTTAACCTCTGAGCCACCAGGGAAGCCAGGAACTATTGAATTAAAAGCAATGTTAAAGTAGGAATCTGGAGTCAGTGCCACTTATCCACTGCTTTACTTGCAGTGAAGATATACAACTATTTATTTCAGTGTTTTGTTGATTTTTCATCAAAAAACTTTATTCCCCATAACCAACACCCCACCGACTCAATGGACATGAGTTTGAGCAAACTCTAGGAGATGGTGAAGGACAGGGAAGCCTGGTGTGCTGCAGTCCATGGGGTCACGAAGAGTCAGATATGACTGAGTGACTGAACTGAACTGATAGTAATTTTTTAGAGTCATTTATTTTGAGAGTCATTAATATGGAATTATTACTTGAATTAAGTCTTGCAATTCTGCACATTTTCTTTCTCATGACAATAATACTTCTTCAAATTTTCCAAAAGAACTGTCATGAATGGGTCAGGAAGACACAGCAAAAGCATGTTCTCTCCATTACCCATGTGATTAGTTATATACATTATAATAGAGCATAAAATGGAATATTTCCTTTTCTTAAAAAAGACAATCTATAGAAAATATTTAATGACATGAGAAATGTTCATATGTAAATAGGTTACAAAACAGCTTATAATATGGTATTTTGCATGATTTTATGATATACTATTTCTGTATACTCATGTAATATTTCTTGAAAGATTATTAACTGTGGTTGTCTTTTTGAGAATGGGGTTAAACAAGATTTATGTTTTCTTCCCTTTTGAGCATGTGTTTTCTAAATTCATGACTTCCACAAATTTTAAATTTCTTAATAAACCCAATTTGAAATCCATAAAAAAGCTTGAGAATAATTTGAGAGCTGAGTGGAATTACTTACCCTAGTCCCAGCAGCTGACACACATCATCTGAGATCTGGGTTGTCCAGTTCTCGGCACAGGCTACATGCCATGTGCTTTGAATCCTGAACTGCACCAAACCACTGCTGTCTGTCGTGCCATTGAAGAGACGCACTAAAAAGATGAGATCATACACAGGGTCACTGTGACCCAAGCCAATAAACAAATGTTGGACTCTTAAGCTAAACATGTAAGATTCTTAGCATTTAGAGATTGATAGTGTATGATTTTTCTTAAGAACACACTGGAAGTCTTAAGTTGAAAACAGTAAGTTTGGTAGTATGAATTTTGCTTTTTCATGTAATTATAAAGATGGAACTGGCAGAGATATATAAGTTCATTGCATATCAGTACAGCCAATAAACAGAAAATAAAGCTATTTTGAAGAGCTAATAAGCATAGTTACTAAAAGAAGGAAAACAAATTCAAGAACAACTTTAAACATTTTTTTTCTTACTTCTCTCTCCAGAAAGTATCTTCTTTGACCTTATTTTTTTGCTGTTTGGTTTCTGTCATTCCCCCCTTCAATTTACAACCATTTAGGACAGAGAGTTAAGGCCATTAGCAGCTAGGTGGGAGACTGGGCTAAGAGAGTTAGTTTATCAAACAGATAAAATATCACCCATCATAGTTTTACACACAAATATCATACAATAATTCTATAAGTGTTTGTTACTCTTTACCATTTTTTCTGATGATAAAAAGAATAAAGGCATTGCCTGTAGAATTAGACAGACGGATTGAAAACATAGCCCTAAGCCTTACTAGATGTGTGATCTTTTGCGACTACTTAACTCCTCCAAGCCTCAGTTCTCAGTGAAACAGAGCTAATTCCAATTATGTTAAGATCATTTTACCGCACCCCGTTATAGCACATGCATATAATAAATAGCTTTTACTATTTTCTTTTTTTTGAAATAAAAGTAGGACAGAGTAAAAGTAGTCATTATTCCTAATGTAACAGAGAGCTGGATAGGGGATGGACAGGAGACTCAAGGCAGGAGGAGAATTAGATACTGAAGAATCAAGAATACAAGGACATACATAAGTGCCTTCCAATCAGGTAAGTCTATAGTCTACCAATTGCAAGGTAGCTATGAGTTACCGAAATGTTTAGCCGTAATTTATAAACAAAACCCTTTGTAGAAGTATTTTTTAAAATTGAAAACATACCTCCGTTTCATAGATGGTTTGCCACAACTACTATCTATCATCTTGCTAACAAGAAATAACTATTAGACAGTTTTGGAAGGTAGTCCCACGAGAGCCTGTATACTGGGTATGGAAGAACTTAATTTTATGATAATTGCTGTCACTTGAAAAAGAAAAAATAAACAAACAAACCCGTCATCTGATTGGCTGGTGCCAAGAGCTGTGGTATAAATTTGAAAACTGTATTTAAAATAAGAAAATGTTATCTTTTAAATCCTGCTCTCCCTTCTGCGTTTTCAATGACATGGAATTAAGGCTAATGTGTTTGCTTTATTTTCTTTGGTAATCTCAAACTTTGTAGCTTTTAAAACTAGAAACCATTGTTCTGACAAGGCAGGCAACTGTATTTCATAAACACGATTTTATGAAACACTGCCCTGTAGATGCTTTTCCCCATGTCTCTGGCAGTCTTTGTTGTCATTTATATCCTGGGGATAAGGAGAACTTGGCTAGCAGTTCTAATGTAACATTCTTTTAAGAAGGTATTTAAGTAAATGGTCTAATTTCTACACAATTATTGCACTGAAATGTCTTTTTTTTAAGGTGTCTAAATAAGCTTGCTAATTCAAGACTCTAGCCAGTTGTGCATCAGACTGCTTGAATTCAGGAGCTTACAGCATTATTTATGAAGGAAAAATATAGAAATATGAAGTACCTCAGGTTGAATGTTATTGTACTGTATTTTTAAGGTAACAGTGCAGATCTTGTTAGACACATGAATGTGTATAATCATGTTAAATGCAAATAAAATAAAACCGGTTCAAGAAAAAAAAAAGAATGCAAGGACAAGTCCAAAAAAGTCAGTTATAAATAAGCACAAGGGGGCCTCTGGGTGTAGGCAATGTGCAAAATATGAATGAGTGGTGGCTAGAGTGGCTGGCATGGGCTGTTGTCTTTCTGAGGTATTTTATGCTTTTTACCTGAAAATGCATTGTCCTAGACCTAAAGCTGGACTTCCCAGGTGGCATTAGTGGTAAAGAGCCTGCCTGCCAATGCAGGAGACCTAAGAGGTGCGAGTTCGATCTCTGGGTCAGGAAGATCACCTGGAGAAGCAAATGGCAACCCACTCCAGTATCCTTTCCTCGGAAATCACATGGACACAGGAGCTTGACAGCCTGCAGTCCATAGGGTTGCATAGAGTCGTACACAACTGAAGCAACTTAACGCACGCAGACTTAAAGGTATTAAATGTAGTCAACTTGAAACAGAAACAAGTTCGCGTGTTAGCATTTCTTATAATCAGAATGATGGCAGAGGCACTAAAATCACCAGGAAACAATAATCCATAAATACCAAGATATGTCCTAATAAATATAGTCATAATCTTCCTTTTGTATTTGTAGAATCCAAATGTAGAAATTAAGATGATCAAAGTTTTTTCCTAAAAATAAAACGTACCACAATCTGCTTCATCTGAGCCGTCCTTACAGTGTGCAAAACCATCACAGAGATTCACCAGCGGAATACAGTCCCCATTCTTACACTGAAAACTGTCTTCCTTGCAGGGTTCTGTGGAGGGGAAAAATATGTATTGCATAGGATAATGAAATGACAAGTAGACCATTCTGGAGTACCCATACCATTTCTGTCCCTTTAAACATCCATTCTTTGCCACAGGCCTTGGTTAAGCTGACTTTGATACTGAATATGACAAAACAATTGCTCCAAATGCTTTTGCAATAGTCCTGTCAAAGTTAGAGACATGGTTTAATTAGAATATGAACAAAACCTTAAGCATCTCCTTTGCAGCAGAGGGCAGGGCAATTCCAAGCGATGTATGAGAGATTTTGGACATATCATCCCACACCGTCTCTGTGAATCTTATAAATTCTTCCAACCCAGTGAATGTGAATGTACAAGTAACAACCATTGGGATGTTCACAAGTGTAGACAGATCTTTTGGTTTTACTACCTCCAAACCTTTCTTACATAGAAATGTGGAAGCTGTCTTTTGGTGGAATCAAAGTTGGACAAGGCTGGAAATAGTTTAATTAAAGCATGGTTAGGTGGGAAAAAGTCATCTAAAGAAATGGAAACTGCAATAGCAGTAATTTGAAAGGAAACAGGGAAAACAGGGCTGGAGTTATTGGGAATGTGCTTGGACATGAAAAAACAGGACAATGAAGAGGCTGGACAAGAGAGGATCAAAGTACATATGGTGGCTGCTGCCAGAGTTTTGAGTTGTGCATAAGATGTCTACTTGAAGTATTCATTGTTTAAAGGGAGTGGGAACTATGTTTCCTGAACTATGTTTTTGTGTATTCTTGCAGTTTTGCTCTGGGGGAGCCCTCATCTCACTGGAAAAGAGGAGTTTGCTCCCCTAGAGTTGTTTTCTGATTGTGGCTTGGAGGACTAGCTACATCCTGATATTAGAATCTCTATTGGGGCCACGTGGAATCTGGATTTTCTGAGAAAGGAAATAGCCATTGGGTATGAAGAGGCTTTTCTTGGGCTCCAAATAGTGACTGCAGCCATGAAATTAAAAGACATTTGCTCCTTGGAAGAAAAGCTAGGACAAACCTAGACAGTGTATTAAAAAGCAGAGACATTATTTTGCCGGCAAATGTCTGTATAGTCAAAGCTATGGTTTTTCCAGCAGTAATGTACAGATGAAAGGCTGGACCATATAGAAGGCTGAGTGCAGAAGAACTGATGCTTTCAAACTGAGGTACTGGAGAAGACTCTTGAGAATCCCTTGGACACAACAAGGAGATCAAACCAGTCAATCCTAAAGGAAATCAACCCTGAATATTCATTGGAAGGACTGATCCTGAAGCTCCAATACTTTGGCCACCTGATGCGAAGAGCTAAGTCATTGGAAAAGACCCCGATGCCTGGAAAGATTGAAGGCAGGAGGAGAAGGGGACGACAGAGGATGAGATGGTTGGAAGGTATCACTGACTCAGTGGACGTGAGTTTGGGCAAACTCTGGGAGAGAGAGAAGGACAAGAAAGCCTGGTGTGCTGCTCCAAGGCATCACAAAGGATTGGACATGACTGAGTAACTGAGTAACACCAAAGATGGGTAAAAGTAAAGCTTTTTCTATTAATGCTCTCATTGAGTCCATTCATTAAACTGAATCTGTAACTTACTAGCTGTAATATCTATATGCCTTGTTTCTTCATTTTTATATGCCTAGGACTTGACAAAATGACTGGAACAAAGTAGGAAATCAGTAGATATTTGTTAAATGTTAAGTGAATTAACTTGTATTAGATAAGTGTATATGCCTCAATAATCAGCATGCACATTAGTAATAAACACAATTTGAGTAAATCACTAAAAGTATGATTTCAAAAAATACATTTAAAAAGTAGACAGCTGATTGGCTGATGATAACTACTGACTTGAAAAATAAAAATCAATGATGAATTATGAAGATAAAATTTACTTGTCTGAATTTGGGTGCAGGTTAAAACATAAGCTCTGGAATCATGTGACTGATTTGACCTTCAATTTAAATGTTTTCTTTTTATTTATTTTTGACCTTGGACAAATAAATCAATCTTTTAGAAACTAAGTTTCTTTGATATAAGTGGGATAAATACTGCTTATGTCTTAGGTATATCATGAGAATCATTTTTTTAAAAAAATGAATGTATTTACTGTGCCAATATGAACACACTGAATGCAGAATAAATTTTATCCTTAACAGTAAAACTAGTAACACTTAGAGGTCATCCTTTTCATTGATACTTCTGTGTGCTTGTTGTGCTATTTTCTTCTCCAGATAATGCGAGAAATCAGACCTAATGCTTTGCTCCAGGTATCTCACAGCAGTAATTGGAGGTATTTGTATGTGTTATTTTAAACCTTGATAAAGTCTATATTTTTTCAACCCAAATTTAAGTTACTTTAATAAAAAATACTTTAAGAAAGGCATGATTGGGATAGTTGCTTCTGCAAATGTTTATCCACTGAGCATAGGTTACATATATCAAATATAATACTATTAGGAAGGCTCTTGTAAATGCAATTATCAATTTATTTCACAAACACATATTTCTAAACCAGATTAGTGAGACAATAAATGGGCTGCTTATTCTACAGGCAAGCCTCAATGCTTTAACTGACTTTATATTTTAATCTTTCCAGTACTGAGTTTAGAAAGCAGGAATACTTAAAACTAGGTATACATGTGTTGAATTTATATCTTCTATTTTAAATCTATATTTTAGTATATATTATATTTATTTTAAAAGCTGACAGCCCAATTTTGTATCCATAATCAAATATCTTAATTTACTTATAGAATGGTAGTCAGCACTAGTTATTTTTAAATTATCCCATTACTTTGTTTTCATAGATTTTTAAAGTCATTAGGTAAAAATGAGTTTTAAATGCCAATAATTTAATCATTGATAATTTATTAATAATTTTACTCTTTTACTGGTATAGCCAGGCTATATTTAATTCAAAAAGCATGTATCCATTGAACTAAAATTTAAATAACTGAATAAAAATATGAATGAAAGCATGTGCAAATATCTGAAAATTGCAGTTCATTTTTCTGCTCTAGCCAAAGCTGTTAGTGTTATACCAAATGAACATAGAAAAATTATCCTATCCTCATAAGATGAGTCTGTTGGATTGAAAAAAAATGCTGAATGGGAAAAAAATAATCTATTGCTGCTGAACTGAAAATAAATGACCCATTCTGAGAAATTTAAATAAATTGTTTCAAAATTTCCCTTTATGTACATGAACTGGATTCTGATTCTTTGCAGCATGTAACAATTCAACTTCAAGAATTTAATCCAAAAGTTTAACTCTCTGTGGCCTCTGGAGTCTTATTTCTGATCATTTTATGCCCATAGTGAGAGAGACAAAAAGAAATATTATTAAGAAATGAATTTCCCCATCTCCTTTTTATGAGGTCTCCAATAGCCCTGCCTCATTCAGTCAACATATGCCTGGTTTTAAATGGAATTGAACTGATCTCTAAGGCACAAGCCACACAATCTGGGGAGGGCACTGAACCCCTAAATGTAATCAGCTGCCACTTCCATAGTTGCCAGATAAGCACTATTGAGTTCCAAATTAAGACTCTGAGATTCAGAAAAGAGCAACGAGGGGACATTCAAAGGAGAGTGATTTTAATAAATCCCATTTCTTATACTCTAATGTAAATAAAATGTGAAAACTAAGATAAAAAAAGGACATACAAAAAATATGTTGTACAAGGGTTTTACATGCCACTTAAGTGCTTTGGAAGGTATATCTAAAATATCTTAGAAGATAAATGAAGGACATTCATGCTGAATATTTATGATATTCCTTTGCTCCTTTTTTCCGAAAATGACCAGCACAGCAGGACACCAACATAAAGATGTGTGTGCCTAATCTCTCCTTCTGTTACCAGTGTGATTATCTGCCACTGCCAATTCACTGTGTCTGTAATTTCTTTTCAGCCTTTTGGTGTAAAAAAAATCCTTCTGGGAGTAGATTATGTTGATAATGACTCAATCACTCCATTTTCTAGTCCCTAGCAGCATAAATCCCTGGCCAAGAGGAATGTGAGACCACATTCTCAACATATTCAACACAGAGTGATGGTCATGGAAAACTCCATTTTAGCTTCAATCCAGGGTATTTTCTCAAAACGATTTATTGCCTAAATAACATTATCATAGTAACTAAAATCTTTTGAAAGGGCAAACAAATAAAAACAATACCTAGGCCATAAATCTCCTACCTATTTTGTGTTGTAAGCCATAGATTATGTTCTTTTGGCTTTTATCTTGACTAGAAATTGCTTGTAATATTTTTCAAAGTCCTAATGTATTTACTTTATTAGAAGACTCAAATAAAGCCAGCAACTGTAATATTTTTGATGAAAGAGGTGTTGCTACCTTCCTTTCCCCAAACTATTTTCTATAATTCTTTCCTCCCTTTTCCTTTACAATTTGAAATATGGCTTAAAGACCTACCATTTCTCTAAAATTTGGTTTCAAGATGTTTTCATTTTTGCAGATGGTAGATGGTCAATAATTACTTTTTTGGATAAATTCACTCCCTTATTGGCTATAGCTATTAGTTTTTCTTAATCTCATTAGTTCAGCTGGTTTTGCAATTCATCTTCATTTCTTTAAAAATATAGCAATTTTCAGTCAGATAGAGAAAGACCAGTATCATATGACATTACTTATATGTGGACTCTAAAATGATGATACGTATTTTATCCTTTCTGGTACAATGGTAAGATGGTAAATGGGATTGGTTCCTTAATTTCTCTTTCTGATCTTTTGTTGTTAGTTTATAAGAATGCAAAAGATTTCTGTATATTAATTGTGTATCTTGGAACTTTATCAAATTCACTGATGAACTCTATTATTTTCTGGTAGTGTCTTTATTATTTTCTATGTAATTGACCCAACACTGTAAATCAACTACACTCTAACAAAAACTTTGAAAAAATGTTTAAAATTAAAAAGAATACAAATGAACTTATTTACAAAACAGAAAGAGACTCACAGACATAAAAATTAAACTTACTGTAGAGAGAGGGATAAATTAGGTTAGGATTAACATGAACACTACTATATATGGAATAGAAAATCAACAAGGGCCTACTGTACAAAACAGGAGACTGTGCTCTATATTTTATAATAACCTATAAGAGAAAAGAATCTGAAAAGGAATATATATAAAATATATGTAACATATAAATGAATCACTGTACTATATATGTGAAAATAACACAATATTGTAAATCAACTATACTTCAATAAAAAAAGAAAGTAGAAAAAACCGAAGATCATTTTAATTTGGTGAATAGACATGGGACAATATTAAACAGCTAACTCAATTTGCAGTTAATATGCTACAAGTTTTTAGTTTATTTTGTGTTTTATACTCACGGGAAATAAACATTGAAAAATGAATTTTATTGTGATAACAAATAAATATAATTAGAATAAATTTAGAAAGCATATAGTACTCCTCAAAAGTTCCTTCCATGACATCTTTGGAAAAAAGTTGGGAAGCCCACCTCTCCAAGAGAGTAACTATTAGGTATTTTCTTGCTCATTTTAAAATAGAGAATGAAGCACATAATTGTATTTCATTCAAATACAAATGATACTGATGTCACACATTTTCTTTATTGCAGAAGTTTCTCTTCGAAAATTTAGAAATATCACTCCACTGTTTTAAAATATTCATCATGAAATGACTAAAATATAAAGCTGAACTGGTTTTTAACATCTTTAAAAACTGATTTTGCTTATTCTCCTTTAAAATTTTATGAAAACTTTCCTTTAAAATTTTAAATATGAAATGTTTTAACACTGATCCCTACTTATAAATTTTTATGATTTTTCAGACACTTTAATCAGATCTAGAAATGATATTGTTTTTTTTCCTATTATAACTTTCAGTGTTAGTTTTAATTGGCTCTCTTCCTTTGGGAATCACATTACTTTCAATTTGTGGGTTGGTGCTTTTCCTGTATGCACATCAGAGACGTCCACATATTTCCATCTCTTTACCTATCATTTTTGACTCTTGATCATGCTTTTGTGCAGTGTTTTTGTGAGATTGTGGTATTATGGTGTCAGAGTTTTTGAATAGGTATACGATTGACCAAAAATCTGTGCAGTTCACACCATCACCAAAAACCTCTGATGGAGTCAGAAATAATAATCTAGTTGTGGTGGAGTTTCAACAAGAAATTCCTCTTCTCAAAGAAGAGAATAGGCCATAGGGATAGAAAAGTGACTTAATTCAAAAGAGGCCTCAAAATTGCCTTGATTACTACTTTCCAAATCAGTGATTTAATTATCTCCTGTTAGTTTTTGATTCTGTATACATTATATCTATCTATATCACTCTTTCTATATATCTTACACATTATATTTACACAAACATATGACATCTATTTATATTTTCATATCAAAATATTTCCTTTTTTGCTATTTTGAAAGATAATTATAAATATAATTTAAAATAAATAATTTTCTTTATAAATTAAAATAATTTTAAATCATATTACTTTCTATATGTTTCTCATTTTTCATGTACTCTTTTTACGATAAATTCTAATTTTCAGTTGCTCTAAAGTCGTTATTCCTTTTCTTTGGTGCTGTATATTCTTTCATAGGCCTTAATGTTTTTGTTTGTTTACTTCCCTAATTGATGTTTTGTTTATTTACTTCACTAGTGGATTTTTTGGTTGATTCATGTCAATGTTGCTTATAAATCCTAAGTAGGTGTATCTAATGCCAATCACAAATTCCAGAAGAATAGCATCATTTCCTAAGCTACCACTTACTCCCATCTGAGTAGCTTGGGCAGTAACAATTGTTATGATTTATATTCAGGGCCGGAAGATAGATAAGCTACAGGTCATTTTTCACATTTGCAGTAATGTTCAAAGCACACAATTTTCTGGGATGAGGTCTAAGTTGTGAGTAGAGGAACAGATATTTGTACAGATGATTCTAGTATCAGAGAATAGGCCAGATGATGATCGATACTACAATCCTACCTCTTTTCTAGACATTCTAATTAAAGACATACTGACCACAGTTCCCTATGGAAGGGAAATGCAGATGTAGGAAGTGATGTGTATTCTGTCTTCCTGACATATTTCCACCTAGAGAACCATTAAGTGGTGGGACAGAGGTATTTTAAAAAATCATAGTTCAGGGGGAGCAGCAAGCCATAAAAATTCTCTTTAGACCCCTGAATGCAGAGATAAACATATGAATGAAAATATCTGTATCTGTATCTGCATCTATAACTATATCTACATCTCTCCATGATGAGCAGGCAGGTCACGATTTTGTTTTTCCTGCTGATTATGTTATGAATGTAATAAAAATATAGGGGAGGAAGGCTGTGAAAAGTGTGAAGTGAAAGTGTTTGCTGCTCAGTCGTGTCTGACTCTAGGAGACCCCATGGACTGTAGCCCGCCAGGCTCCTTTATCCGTGGGATTCTCCAGGCAAGAATACTGGAGTGGGTTGCCACTCTCTTCTCCAGGGGATCTTCCCGACCCAAGGATTGAACCCGGGTCTCCTGAGTTGAAGGCAGCCTCTACCATCTGAGCCACCAAAAAGGCTGTGCATTCCAGCAAATATCAGCACCAAATTCCTTCTGCCCTCATGGCCGTGCCTTTTCACACTGTCTGTCTCTGAGAAGTTGATGTTAATTTTTTAATTGGATGTTGTTGACATTCAAACAGCTCATTTGCTTGTTTTCCTGCTGTTCTCTGAAAACGTTCTTGGCAAAAGGAACATGAGGACAATCCTACTTCGTCACAGTGCCAAGAAGCCCCCCTTTGCAGTTTAAAATGGCCCTTTTCAGTGTACAAGATGCACAACTCTTTACATACCAGAGAAGTGTGAATAGGTCTGCTGAAACACCCGTGTGGATTCCTGCTTTGAGCAAAGTCAGCTAGTGGTTAATCAGGTGTGAAGGAAGTAAGAAACTCTCCTTTAAGACGAGGAAAAATGAATGAATGTACTAGAATGCAAGCACTGAAATTAAGTTCTGGCTGTTTCTATTGTTTGGCTCCAAAATTTATAAGGCACCATGTAATCCCATGCCTACTTACCTGGAACCCCCAAGCCATAACCAGTAGTGAAATTTGCTTTAAATCCCTGTTTTGCCAACATATCATCAGTGATAAAAAGCACAGTCATTCGGTTGGTGGTTGAGAACACGTCCTTTACTGGACCAGGGCCTGTGTACACAGCTGTTCCCAAAGAAAATGGGATAATCAGTGAGATAATCATTTGACTCTAGAAGGAAATGCACCCTTTTTCTTAATTCTCTCTCCCAGACATATACAACATGCAGCATGGCTTGCTCAAGAAGCACCCACACATAGGTAAACATGTACATTCTCTTATATTCTAGACACTGCTTCTAAGAAAGCCAACTTCTCTGTTGATCTTTTCCAATATTACTTAAGGTTTCTGCAGCTCTAGAATTTAATGATGAAATTACTCATAATATTGTCGAACTTAGCACCAGTACTATTCAAAGCTCATGCTACCCCAGAAAATTATTTGCCTGCTGTTAAAGACCTTTATAAAATAATGGAGGATATAAATAATTTTTTACAATTTTTGTCTCAATAAATTTAGTCTGAATTTTTATCTTCATAAATCAATTGTCTTTTTAATAAATTTTTTGTTTAAATTCATTTGATATTTTTAATAAATTGAATCACTAACCTTATCTGAAAGATATGTTAGAGACAGATAATGTAGACCTAAATGGTGGCATTCAATTTTTTCCTCTCTAATCCCTAGGGCTACAGGGCTTCATAAACAATAAAATCCTCTTGGTAACCTTTCCCTTCTCCAGGGGATCTTCCCAACTCAGGGATCAAACCTAGGTCTCCCTCATTGCAGGCAGATTCTTTATCAGCTGAGCCACAAAGGAAGCCCTATTAAAAAGTAATGGCTTCAGTTACTTTAAAAATACATTCATTTGTTAAATATTTTACATATTGGAATACTTGAAAGTGATTCTGTATCAAAAGAGCGTCTTGCTGATAAATTTGAAAACAATGATTATGAGATCCTTTTGGAATTCTCATTTACTTTTCAATGATTGATGGAAATACTAAGAGGTGAAATGATAAAAACTGATTATTGTTAGATCACGAGAACAGAAATGTTTATTAGAAAGACAATGTCAAGTGAAAATGGAGAAACTACTCAAAATGCATTTATAACTGTACTGAAAATCAAACTTGAAGTTCCTCAGTTCTTGCTGGTACAAGGCACTGTAGTCTACGGAGACTTTCATTGTTATTTGTTTTGTGTGTGGCTCTCCTCTCCCAGGAGGCTTTTGAGAGTCAGACATGACTGAGCACACGCTCAGAGCACAGTTAGATAAAATACTTCTGAAAAGTGTGCTGCTTTTGCATTCCAGTTGACATTTCATGTATTTTCATAGTTTAATGCACGACTTACCAAGAGACACTTTCTTAAAAGTTTGTAGCTGTTTAATAAGATATTAGCCATTCTATTTCATAGAACTTTATTATATTAAAAGGTATTTATGATCTAGGTATAATAACTTCTTCTTGAATAGTACACTTTTCCTCCATGTCTATTAAAAATTAGTGATGAATAAATGCTTGGGAAGAATCAATTTGATCAATTTTTGACTCATTCTTAGATATTTATATAGAAGCAGCTAGTACTGGAGACATAAAGTAATAGTGAAACACAAAGTAAATATCATTTAAAAATTTTGCATAGTAAACATAATTGATCCTTCAGTTTGAAATGAAATGAAATGTATTATAATAGTTATCTTTGGACATACAATGTATACATAATGCATAGAATAGCAAACTGCATAATGGATGTTCTTGGCTTTTAGTCTCTAAAGTATAATGCTTATTATAGTAAGTTAGTATCACTAGGACCTGCTGACTCAAAACTGTGAATCCTGGTTTTCCAGGAATTCTCAAGAATATTTTTCAATGTTGTGAATGCTCTGCATATTGGAAATGCCACATACAATTTGATGTGTTATTCTACTGTTGTGTTTTCACTTTGCTCTTTGTAAAAAAGTGACTACATGTATTGAGAAATTCTCTCTCCATGGGCTTCCCTGGTAGCTCAGCTGGTAAAGTAGCCGCCTGCAATATGGAAGACCTGGGTTCGATCTCTGGGTTGGGAAGATCCCCTGGAGAAGGGAGCAGCTACCCACTGCAGTATTCTTGCCTGGAGAATTCCATGAACAGAGGCTCCTAGCAGGCTACAGTCCATGGGTGGCAAAGAGGCAGACACGACTTTCACTTTCATTTTCTCTCTCCATCAGTCTGTCTTGAGCCATACAACTTTCACAATAAACTGGAGACTTACCTAAGAACAAGGAATCATCTCCTTCACCATCTCTGATTTCAACTACATCTGCAATATTTTCCAGGTCAAATTCCTGAAAGTGAAGCTGAATATTTTTTCCCTTTTGTGCATTTAAATTCCAAACACCTTAAAAGTAATAAATAATAAAGTTAGTTTAAACATACTTCTTTTGATTACTCTTAACTTCAATCTTCTGAGAATTTCAAATCATTTTCAAAAATCTTTTTTTCATTTTATAAAACTTAATATTCCAAGCTATTTGTTTGCGTGAAGAAATATTTCATCTATTCTAGGATACTTAAAGTGAAATTTCAACTAAATTTGAGATCATTTACTCTAATTGAATTTATTTTATTCATATAAATGAAATACTTTCATCAAAGCTTGCAAATAGCCTTTTACTCCTACAATCTAAAATATATGAATGTCAAAAGATATGACATTTATTTTATTTTCAAGATTAAATGTAGAGGAAATGAGGTAATTAAAAAGTAATTTGTAGGGCAACTAAACTTTAATATTTCTTTAAGTAATTGTTGCAATTATTTTTATATGTCATATGATAGCAGTTCCTTTTGAAACAAAACAAAAAAATATTTATAGCCTTAGTATCAAGAATCCCTGGTGGCACAGTGGTAAAGAAACTGCCTGCCAAAGTAGGAGACGTGGGCTCAATCCCAGAGTTGGGAAGACCCCCTGGAGAAGGGAATTGCCATCCACTCCAATATTCTTGCCTGGGAAATCCCATGGACAGAGGAGCCTGGGGAGCTATGGTCCATGGGGTCCCAAAAGAATTGGACATGACTTAGTGACTAAACTACCATCACCAGCCTTAGTGTCAATAAACACTCCTTGTTTTTTATTGATTCCTTAAATAATTTAGTCTTTAGATTTTGCTCCAGAATTTTTCTTCATTCTACATGAGTTTCTCATTCACTCTTAAGGAAGTCATTTTATTGACATAGTAATGACCTCTAAGTTCTTATCTTCTGCATTTTTTTGAGAAGTAGATCCATTTATTCAAATATTTACTGTGTATAAATGTAAGTATCTCAAACTCAACAAGGAATAAAGGTAATACACAGTGATCTCTTTCCCCAACTCATTCCTTTTTTCGTTCTTCCTATTTCAGTGAATAGTACCACTAATCGTCCACTCACAGTTTTCTACACCAGAAGCCTCCTCATCCTCCTTGAGCTCTCTCCTCCCATATACAATCAATTCCCAAGGCTGCCAATACTAGCTCCTATATCCCTGGAATCCCATTGCCTTCTCAGTCTCTAGTGCCGCTATCCAAGTTCAAGTCACTGTTATTTTTCATCTCCTAATTTGTGAGGCTAATTGCTCCCTTACAGCCTACCTCTGACCCTGCAATAGAATTTGTTGCTTAAAAAAAAAAAAAAAAAGAATTTTTTGTTGTTCAGTCACAATGTTGTGTCCAACTCTAGGCAACCCCATGGACTGCAATACAAAAGGATGGATCCATCTACAAGGCAAACTTGATTTTATCACTATTTTCCTGTAAGCCATTGAAAGTCTCCTCAGTGCTCTCAGAATAAAATTCAAACTGCTTAACATGGTGTGAGATAACTTCACATTTCATTTCCATTTGTTATCATTGCTTAATTTTGCTTGAAGATTCAAGAAAAAATCAAGGTCTTCTACTTCTGAACTTTTGTATGTTAAATACTTCTTATATTCCTGCACAGCCTCCTGTCTTTGCCCTTATTACAAACAGGACCTTAAACACTGTGTGATGCCTGACAACTTATCTGAATCCTTATCTAGACTGAATTGTTTGTTTCTTCTTTACTTACTTCAGTACCTAACAAATAAAGCACTCAAAAAAGATTTCATGAGTAAATTAATAAATTTAATAAATGTCTCCAAATTGTTCTTTCAATGTTCCACTTATTTTTGGATACTTTTACATCATTACTTTGTACAAATGATAATGTACAAATCATATTTTTACATTATTACTTTGTACAAATGTTTAAAAGATAGTTTCTATGCTAAGTGGAGATGATAATCTCTAGTTCCCCATACAAGTCAAATTAGATTAATGGCTGTTTATTTTTTTTAATCAGATATCTCCCTATAATAGTGACTCTACTATCCTATCAAAATGATATAATCTCTGGATCATTTGAAGGAAGAAACATTGACATTTTCTAATAACACATTTTTCACTGTCATTGGGGTATTTTTTTCACTGGTAGAATTTTCCATTTAGGTTGGTGGTGCTATCAGAGGCCATGGAAGGCAGGGGAAGAAGATGTTTGTTTCTCAAAATACTAGTGTGGAATCTTTGGAGGATGGGCCATGGAATCTTCATCTTTAACACAAACAGTCTCTGTGCAGTTTTAATGAGCTTCTCTATTTAGGACTAATGACCTAGATATAAGCTTTATCTGGTTTTATTATAAAAGCCTCTTCTCTCTAGACTTAGAATTTTTTAGTGCCCTTCATATTAGCTCATCCTTTATATTGGGATATATTGGGACTGCTTCCCTGGTGGCTCAGGTGATGAAGAATCTGCCTTAAATGCAAGAGACCTGGGCTTGATCCCTGGGTGGGGAAGATCCTCTGGAGAAGGGAATGGCAACCCACTCCAGTATTCTTGCCTGGAGAATTCCCTGGGCAAAGGAGTCTGGTGGGGCTATATACTCTGTGGGGTTGCAAAGAGTCAGACGTGACTGAGCGACTAATACTTTCACTTTATATTGGGATTCTAATCACTGCCTGCTTTATTCTCTTTAATCTGTAGTTATAAAAGATACATATAAGGGGACAGTCCCTTTGCTGTCTCCCTGAAACTATCACAACGTTGTTAACTGGCTATATTCCAATACAAAATAAAAAATATAATAAATTTAAAAAAACTGTGGAGGCCAGAAATAGTGAAAACCTATTTATAAAGTGTTTTGAAAACAAAACAGAAAACTATCAACCCAGAATCCTTTAATCAGCAAATGTATCCTTCAACAATGAAAATGAAATAAAACCATTTTCAGAAGAAAGAAAATTAAGAGAATTCATTGCCAGTAGACCTACTTTAAAAGAAATGTTAAAGAAAGTTCACAGGGAAAAAAATGATAGCAGAGGGGACCCTGGAATGCCAAGAAAGAAGGAAAAGTAACAGAAACGGTAATATCTGAGTAAATAGAATAATTTTGTTCACCTTTTACACTTGTTAAAATATGTATAAATAAATAGTACCTAACATTGGGGGGAAAAAAAGATGTGGTGTCACAATTGGCTTTTTGCTTTATATACTTTCCACTGATCTTATACTGTAGAACTCAAACTTGTTATGCACAAGATAAACAATATATGCATTATCAAGGAGACTGGTATCTGGAATAAGGCTACTACCTCTTTTACTTATTTTTTAAACTTTTAAATAGAATTATTATAATATCACCTCTTTTAAAAAATTATTGTAAGAACTGACTAAAATAAGTTTTATTAAGCATTAGTGCTGTGACTGGCATAAAATAAATGCTAAAAAAGTTAGTCATTAACCACCATTATTCTTCTCATTATATTAAGTGATCTCATAGATGTAGTAGTTGTATCCAGATATAGCAAATTTGTAATCTAGTTTGCTGTGTCAAGGGGAGAATCTAACTTTGATATATACATTTGTTTTCCATGATCTGGAAAAGAAATGACTCACAGAAAGCCTGATTAGGGTAGTTGTTTGGGAAGTTTATAGACGTGAATGTTGTATTTGGCTCCCACAGTTCATGAGGCCCTCCACAGTCCGCTGAAAAGGAAAGCAATGAAAAATCATTAGTAATATAATATTTATTTTAGAGCAGTAATACTATATGCCAGCAAATTTCCAGTTTTATTTCTTGGAATACTGGTTTTGGCAGATACATTTTAGAGCTTGCATAAGGGAAAATATAGGCTAACAGGTTTCTTTACTGAAGAATTTCTCAAATCCTTATATATTTTTATGCTCTTTGTGATTCCCCAAGAAGGCATAATAGTGTTCTGCATTTTCCAAAATTATCTGGGCAAGGAAACAATTTTGACAAGCATCTTTTATAGGTAGTCTTAATGAAATAAAGTATTAACTCCTTGCTTTAGAAAAAATAGATGAATCTTTGTAATGGAACAAATAGAGTATATGCCTCTCTCTTATGGGAAGGACTAGTAAATAACTAATCCTATTATTTCTTGTTTTTTTCTTCTTTTTTCCCTACTTTTCTTTAGTAGAGAATCTGTATACTGTATCGAGGCATTTGATGGTCAAGAAAGGGAGACAAACAAAATTGCTGCTTTCTAAATAGTTACCCTAGATTGTCTAGGAGTGAAGTTGGGACTGAACTAAACACAAATTTATAAGAAAAAACGCCGATCTTCCAGTTAAGAGTACAATGCTTCAAGTAGGTAAACTAAGTTTTTGAAATTCGTAACCTACTTCACATTTATTTATCTTGCTTATTAGAAGAACATTCTAAAGTAATGTAAAAATTTCTTAGCTACTTTAAGTATTCCAGTTCTTACTTTTTAATATCATATTATATTTAAGATCAAAAGAATAAAAGTAATCTAAATAGAAGAATATAGAGAATCAAGAAAAGCATATATTTTCCTATCATTAAAGCAGATGATAATGATATGGCTGTGTGTGTTTAGTCACTCAGTTATGTCCGACTCTTTGCAAGCCCATAAGCTGTGGCCTGCCAGGCTGCTCTGTTCATGGAGATTCTTCAGGCAAGAATACTGTAGTGGGTTGCCACGACCACCTCCAGGGGATATTCCCAACCCAGGGATTGAAGCCAGGTCTCCAACATTGCAGGCAGATTCTTCACTGTCTGAGCCCCCAGTGAAGAGGAAGAATACTGAAGTGGGTAGCCTGTCCCTTCTCCAGTGGATCTTCCTGACCCAGGAATCCAATCAGAGTCTCCTGCATTGCAGGCAGATTCCTTACCAGCTGAGCAACTAGGGGAGCCTGATAATGGTATACTTACTCCCAATAACACAGAAATCAGATTAGAGAAGAGAAAATTAAATGTCTCTACATCTACAGCAGTGCCTTCTATCAGACTCTCTTGTTTAATCCCTCATTTACATGTCACCTGCCCTATTTATGTGGATCCTTTCCAATTTATGTGCATTTTTCAAGCTGGTAGGTAATAATATTTTTTGATTTGGGTTTTGGATATGCACAATGGGACAGAGACAGTTATTATGGCTCAAACTGGTATCATTGCCAATATAGCCTGTTCTGTAAGGTGACAGGGCATGGTCTCACTTATATGAACTCCTGGGACTTAGCCAGGAGTTCTGGCTTATCCAGAAACACATGAGTTCAGCAAGAATAATAAAATCTTTCTAAAAACTCATTGTTTGCAAAATGTCCATGCACATTGCCTTATCTGGAGAGAGAACACGGTGTAGGAAAGGAAGATGGGCTGTAGTTGGCGGAGTAAAACGGTTGCTCTGAGCTAGTTTCTCATCTTTCTGAGACTGGGTCTTCTCATATGTAAAATAGATATATATTGGAGATTTTCAAAGTTGTTGTAAAAATCAGAAATAATTTGTGAAAAATGCCTGGCACATTCAATACTGATTTTCAATGAACCTCTGTGAAATAGGTAATTACTACGACTATTTCAGTTTTAAATGGGCAATCCAGACTTTGGAGGTATTCTGTTACTTGCTAATGCTTTGCACATTCACTTAGTGTCAAGGCTTCAACTCAGTTAACCTCAAGCTCATCTGACAGTATGTTACTGTCTCCTGTTGGGTTGATTGAATGGAATCCTTTTAGCCACCTGGTCCAAGCCATAGGCAGGGTTTAGACTGCATCTCAGTAAATGGCACTTGGTGGGTAGGTGACAAGAAGAAGGAGGACAGAGGGGAAGGTGGATGAGATCTCTAAAAAGTAAAGTCAATGATGGACAGATCTAGAAGGAAGAAAAAGTATACAGGCTGCTGAAGAAGACATTGGAACCAAAGAAAGTGGTAATTCAGAACAAGGGCAATTTCTTAAGAAAGTGGTAATTCAGAGCTAGGACAGTTTCTCCACTGGGAAAGCCCGAAGGAACTTTGAAGCTCCCAGGCAGCTGTCCCTTGGAGGCAAACCCTCTCCTTGATTGTGTGATCTTTGTCTTGCAAAGATTCCTGTAAAGGGATCCACTACAACCCCTCAACTCTTCCCCACATACAATGCCTGTAATTTTCTGTAATTCTAAATGCCTTGAAATTCTTTCTTCAGTCTTCTAGGAAATTGATGGGAAGGGAGAATGTAATTACAAGGACAAAAGTAACACTGCAGATTGAAGAAGGGTGGGTGGGTGGGGTGGGGAGAAAGCCAGCTCTTCTGCTTCATAAGTTTAGCCACACCCAGTGTGGCAAGTGGGGATGCTGTTGTTTAAACATCATTCTCATTTTCTCTTCAAGGAACAGGAACATTTCTAAATTGTATACTCCTCATACAGTAAAGAGTCAAAATTTTGGAGAATGTATTACATGTTCACCTCTCTCAACACTTGACAATACATTGTATTATATGTAGATGAGTACCTAGGACTTAAACACATGATCAGAACTAAAGTGTTGTTAAGTGTATCATTAACTCTGTCAGGGCAGGCAGTTGACTTAGCATTTCTCTTCTGAATAGTAATCTTGGCAAATTTGATACTTTGAAGTACTTTTAAAATAATAAAATACTTAAGAAGTACTTTTTGAAATACATTTCAAATATAATTTTGTATCATACAACTGATCAGTAAGTATCTCTGTTCATTGGCCTTATAAGATGGTTATCAGCTACTCTTGGTATATAAATGACTGTAAAGAAACTGGCAAAAGCACTTTCAGCCATTCTAAGCATGATGACACAGTTAATTTTAATGGTAGTGTTGCTAGAGCAGAGATGTAGCATGTGCTTCTTAAGAGAGGAGCCAAAGACTCATGAAATAATTCTGGAGATCGTGGTACTGCTGTGTCATTTAATAAGCCATCTCCAGCCAGAGAATGAGAGTCAAATAGCTTCTTGATATGGGGAACCCTATTCATTTACGGTTGTTAAACTCTCCCATTTTTCTTTTTCTTGGAGCTGTTCTCTCAAAGATTTGTTCTCTGATTAAGTTCTTCCTATGCCAGTAGGGATCTTCACTGCATGCAATATGTAAATAATATGCAGTATTTTGCAAAGTGCTTGTCAGGGATAGATATTTTCCTTGAGGCACATCATTTTTAATCCATGCTTAAACCTCTGACATAAATGAGATATGTGTCAATGTGGAGGCATTTACTGTATGGTGAAAAGGAGAGTCAGGCTTTCACTTACAATAAAAGGGTTCAAATTAAAGTTATTTCTGACAAGATATTTCAATCAAGAAATAAGGGTGATAAAAGTAGGTTTCTGGATTGCTACTTTTATGTGAGGGAAAGAATAGTGCAGTTTAAGAAATACTACTCACATTGATATTTGAATATGTTCAAAGGGCTAATTTTTAAAATTAGGAATTTTCTTGTAATCATAGTAATACATAAGTCCAATATTACAGACAACATTTTAAAAGATTAGGTTGCTATATAAAAATAAAATTTGGAGTTCAGTTTGTCAAAATTTTTATTTACATTCACAGGTTATAGTGACCAGTCATGATATAAATATTTTTATTAAATTGGTGGCAATAAAGGTCAATTTTTATTTCCAGTGATTTTCATTTTATTTATAATTAATAGGAATCTAGCCAATAATAGATCTAATAAGTAGGCTGTTTTGAAGGTAAAAGAATAAAACAATAGAATAGTCAAAAGCACTGATATAGGAGCATATGAGTGCAGTTAATTTGGAATTTGTTAACAGTTTGAATATTGAATCATACTAATGATATAAAAGGCAAGCAGATCTACATGACCATTAATTATAAAATAATTGAATAGATATTAATTAATTTTACATGAATAACAAGATTCAAAGATTATTTAGCTCCAAGTATAATATCAAGCCCATGAAACTTTCCAAATTAGCTTTTATTTTGTGTTTGGAAATGGAAAATGGCTTAATAATGTCCAAATAGAGCAAAACTGTAGCAAAAACTGTTTAACTGTTTTACAATAGTTAAAACTAGCTTTTTTTTTTTTTTTTTTTTAGTTTTAAGAGTCCAGAAATAAGCCATGGGCTAAAATGTGAATTTCTTTTTGTATGTATCTATTCTATTTAGTGGGCTTCCCAGCTGGCACTCTGGTAAAGAACCCGCCTGCCAAGGCAGGGGATGCAAGAGATGCAGGTTCAATCCCTGGGTCAGGGAAAATCCCCTGGGGAAGGAAATGGCAATCCACTCTAGTATTCTTGCCTGGAGAAGCCGGTAGACAGAGGAGCACCCTACAGACAGAGGAGCCTGGCAGGCTACAGTCATAGGAGCACAAACAGTGGGACAGGACTGAAGTGACTTAGCACGCACGCATGTATGCTATTTAGTAAGGACTTGTGATGAATCATTCTGATTGTGTTGCAAGTTGGTATTATATTTGTGTAATGGAATGTTTACTTTTTAAAGTGTTCTCAATATAGTCCTCATATNTTGCTAGCCCCATCATCATTTGCAAGCTTTATTTTTGATATCAAAATTTTGTTTGGCAGAAAGGTTTTTGTTACCAAAAGGAACAAACAACTGACAGAGAGAGAGAGAGGCTTTAGTTAAAACCTAACAGTATTTACTGATGATCTACATATGCAATATTAAGAACCAGACAACAGTGAAGCAAAGGTGATTTAGATCCAGAGTTTGGGGTCAAGAAAACAATTTTGGGGGCAATATTATTATATGGAAATGACTGAGCATGCACGCATACAGGCATACTTGGTATGTTCCTTCTTTTGTTTCAATTTTTTTGTGTCATTCTGTGGCTTGATCTTAATGCTTCCTTGAAGCCTTTTCCAGCTCACAGTCTCTTCTCCAAAGTCTTCTACCACTTAAGTCTCTCATTTATTTATTTTAGGGACACATAGTTATATGTTGTTTTTTGTACTTATTAATTTGTAAATTAATATTATATGGATTATTCTTTCATGTAATAGTGGTTATTGCTGTATCTTACATTTTCTTATGAAGTGCTTTGTATGCAATATTTATAAAATTTGAATGAAGGTTTCAAATACTGAAGAATTTATGTATAATTTATACATGCACCTAGCATTGTGTGCATGCTAAGTCGCTTCAGCCATGTCTGACTCTGTGTGACCCTATGGACTGTAGCCCACCAGGCTCCTCTGTCCATGGGATTCTCCAGGCAAGAATACTGGAGTGAGTTGCCATGCCCTCCTCCAGGGGATCTTTCTGACTAGGGATCGAATCTGCGTCTCTTACTTCTGCATTGGCAGATTTTTTTTTTTTTTTACCACTAGGCCAGTTGGGAAGCCCCACACCTAGCATTAGTTTGTATTAAATTGAAAACTAAACAGCAATCAGAGCCTAAATTATTTTCAAAAATGAAAATGTACTAAAATTATCATAAACATGAAGCATAACATGATGCACAGCATGATTTCATTGGTGATCTATATTTAACATGTAATATTTCACTAGCTTCCATTTTACTTATATCTTAAAGTTTCTGATTTTCAGTGAAAAGACAGCACTATGGCAAGATGATAAAAAATAAGTCAGAGAGAGATCTACCTGGAAATACTAATAACCTAATTAGGGAAAACACATGTTAATGTTACTTACTGGGAAGTTCTGGCGGAAGAGTTGGGACTAAAGTTGGTTCTGGATAGAGGCTCACATTGCAAATCCCATATGTTAGGCTAATGTCATCCAATGCTATATCACTTAGGAACTGGTTTTTAAACCCATAGAAAGCAATCTGTAATTCAGAGAGGTACACAAAATGATTCCACTTTAATCTTTTCTGATTGACTCTTCTTGTGGCCCAGTATTCTCTGGAGAATCAATGCTGCCATGTCCAAGTAAATGTGGACAAGTTATCACACAGTGAAATACTGCTTTTCAAGGTCCTTTGGCTGAGCCCAGCTTCCTAACTATGCATTCACGGTGGTCTAAATTTTTGCTAGTGTCTTCTTTCTGTGTTAGGCAACATCATCACAGTTTCTTTATGTCTCTAGCTCCTTCTTTCATGATATTGTCAAGCTCCCTTGTACTCTGTCACATATACACATCATCTTGCAGGGACAGCAACCTTATTCTAGGTTCTTTCCACAACATTATTAAAAGTCCAGGTAGCTGGCTGCCTTCCTAGAGCATACAACCCTAAAGAGGGTGAAAGTTGCTCTGTCATGTCCAACTCTTTTGCAACCTCTTGGACTACACAGTCCATGGAATTTTCCAGGCCAGAATACTGGAGTGGGTAGCCTTTCTCTTCTCCAGGGGATCTTTTCAACCCAGGAATCGAACCAGGGTCTCCTACATTGCAGATGGATTCTTTACCAACTGAGCTATCAGGGAAACCCCTAGAGCATACAACTCTGAAGAGAAGACACAGTGATTAGGTAATTTAAAAGAGAGGAGAAGGAAACAAGAGAAAATATGAATATGATATAGTTATTCACAGCCAGATGGTGACTCTAGTGGTAAAGAATCTGCCAATGCAGGAGACATAAGAGAGTTAGATTCCTGGGCTGGGAAGATCCTCTGGAGTGGGGAATGCCTGCTGGTACTGGTCATAATTGACCTGAGAAGTTTGTGTGAGATATATTACAAAGGTGATGATCAGAGGACACAGACCAGACCTGGGAGAAAGGTCCAGTGTTTAGATGAAACATATTAGGTTCTTAAGAACAGTGGGTATTTTTGACTGGCCTTTGTTTGATCCTCTCCTGTCTGGGAAAGGAAAGACATAAACTGAATACCTGATGTGCTAATTGCTATGCAAGGTGCATTGAATACATTATCTTATTTAATTTTTCCTACACTAATTAAATTGAATTTACAGTCATCTATTCACTTGTTTGTTTATTCATTATACCTACTTCAATATACAATCATCTATTCACTCGTTTGTTCATTCATTCTACCTACTTCATGGTACACACTATTTCATGTAAGAATAATCTTTTCCTTTCAGATACACACAAGCTGAATGTCAAAGAGACTAAAGTAACTTTTTCAAAATTTTGTAACTCAAGTGGCAAAGCCAAGGTGTAAATATTTATAGAACTCAGTCCTCTCACTTTGCCTGATGAAAAAGTGGATGCAGTTTGTGACTTTTAAGACTCTCCACGAGTTGCCCAAGATTTAGTTACTGCAATATCTATCTTCCTGCTTCTGCTGTCTTACTGTTTCTTCATATTCCATTTTCCTTTTCCTTTCCTTGAATTTTCAGAAAATGAGGGTGGAAAAGAAAACTTTACAGAATTATAGAATCAGAAAAAAGAGGATAAGGAAAGAGGATAGGGAAAAAAAAGAAAACTGGGAGGAATACACATGAGAGTCATTGATTATCGCCTGCTTTTTATCAAGTCACAGGAAAGCACTGAATCTTCACTGATGACAATGTCTGTCCAAACATACATCTTCTGAAAGTTATACTCTTGTATCTGAAATTGCCCAATTAAAACATTGTTAATTTGGTCAAGCTATTAGCTTATATGATCCTATATTTTAATTGCAAACACCCTTGGGAAGAGAACATATTAAGCTGCTATGTGAAAAATTAATTCACCCTTAAGTGAAATAAATGATCAGAGACTTCCCAATGATACAGCTCATAGAACTTGTCTCAAGAGGAAATATATGGTGATTAAGTCAGAATGGGGCAGCATGTGTGGATACTGGTGGGTGTGGATGTTCTAACAGGAAAAGATGATTCCCTAGAAAAGTGTAGGGGTCATTTAGGTGGTGATCTTGAAAAGCTGGAAGACCTAGTTAGGCAGTGGAATAGGAAGACATGGTTGGCTTGTGCTAGAAAGTTGCTGAAGAAAGCTGAAATATCCTTCGAGTTTTCTATGAATTTTATGGCTCATTATAAGTAGTACTTCCATGTAGTAAATTGTTCCTCAGTAAGTGATTTTTAATGTCAGTGAATAATTGAAAATAGAGGCACTCAAATATATAAAAAAAGAGGAAGATCAGGAAAGAAGAGAAAATGACTTAGCCATACCCAGAAAGTAAATTGTTTTTCATATATCACCATAAACTATAATTGTATCACCATTTTATAACACAAATACATGATTATAAAGTGCTTTGCCCACCTTAAATTCCACTGTTTCATTTAATGTTACTTGTCCATAGTTCCAATTTTGTCCATAATTTCCTTCTTTTTGGAAAATTGTCTTCTCCATGTTTTGGTCACTGCTGATATTAATGCTTAGTTTGTAAACATTTTCACCATACATATAATACCTAGTGTGGAAACAAGCAACAATTAGTCAATTCCTACAACATTAGAAAATGTATATATATATATATTCACATATATGTAGATATATTAGGGTTCTTCTAAATCCTTCAGTCAAATACCTCTTTTCTCTTGGGTGAGGGAGCTGATAGAGAAAAGCAAGCTTTCAGTATTTGCTACTTTATGAATGGAAAAAGTAATGACCAATGCATTAAAACTTGGGGCAACATCTTAGTAAAATTTGAGCCTGGCAATGTAAGAAAAGCAACATCACTCATTAAATAAGATGTTACTTAACATGTGTCTATAACATACCAGAAACTAAGGCAGGCTTGATTGGGAGTGGGATCTAAAGGGAGAGTTAAAAGTCCTACTCTTTCTCGTCTTCCTCCTGGTCCAGTTGGGGTGGAAATGTAAAATCCTGTAAAAAACCAACAAAAATATTTTGCTTCACTTAAACATTAACGATTTTTTTTTTGGTGTGAAATGACAGTTGTGCTTTCCTTCTATGTAATTCATAAACAGGAAAGCACAACTTTAACATGAAAATATAAAGAAACATGTTTAGCTAGAAGGGAAAGGAGCTATACTAGAAGGCAGAAGACAACTTCCATAATCAATTGCTATTTAAAAAGTCACTTCTCAACTTTGGACTTCCCAATAGCCTTGAACAGGAACATCCCTAAGGATATAACAAAATCTAAGTTTCTAAGAGTTCACATGACTGTTTCATCTTACTATTTTGAGCAAATACCAATTTAGTTCCAATTTATTAAATGTTTTGAGTATTCACTCCTTTAGAGACAATAGGACCATGAAGATATTTAGATATGCTGATGGACTAACTCACTTAAGGCAAGCACTTAAATACAAATTTGAAGGGAAAGTTCAATTCCTTCTATTGGAGTTTCCCTTACAATTGTACCTGTGACTAACTTTTGAGGTCATTTAAGCCAAATTAACATCTTCAGAAAATCCTTCTTGGTCTTCCCAACTAGATGTGGCTCTTGAATTCTTAGTTACACTTGTACTTCTCTGAGGTCACTTAGAGTATTCCATCGTGTATTATATTTATATTCATATGTGATGTTAAAGACTTGTTAGAAGTTTAGATAAAAGAAAGACACTTGGTACATTTTCTTAATTCTCTGTGTGGATTCAGTTCAGTTCAGTTGCTCGGTCGTGTCGGACTCTTTGCGACCCCATGAACCGCAGCACGCCAGGCCTCCCTGTCCATCTCCAACTCCCGGAGTTTACTCAAACTCATGCCCATTGAGTCGGTGATGGCATCCAGCCAACTCATCCTCTGTTGTCCCCTTCTCCTCCTGCCCCCAATCCCTCCCAGGATCAGGGTCTTTTCCAACAAGTCAACTCTTCCCATGAGGTGGCCAAAGTATTGGAGTTTCAGCTTCAGCATCAGTCCATCCAATGAACACCCAGGACTTATCTCCTTCAGGATAGACTGGTTGGATCTCCTTGAAGTCCAAGGGACTCTCAAGAGTCTTCTCCAACACCATAGTTCAAAAGCATCAATTTTTCGGTGCTCAGCTTTCTTCACAGTCCAACTCTCACATCCATGCATGACCACTGGAAAAACCATAGCCTTGAC